GCTATTATTCTTTAATATAAAATAAATAATATTTAATAATAAGCTTATAAAAATAATATAAAAATATTTTTTAAATATTAACCTTTATCTTAAGTTAAAAAAATTAATTAAATTAATAAATTTAATAAAATAATATTAAGCCTTTTTTACTTTTAATTTCTTTAATATAAAAGGAATGCTTTATAAATATAAAAAATTAAGAACTTAATATATTATAGCCCTTATAACTTAATAACTTCTTAATTTTTAAAATATTATATTTTTATTTAAAGAATCTTTATATTATAATTATACCTTATTTAAGAAATATTAATAATGTAAATTAATAAAGAATTATAAATTTATTATTATACTTATTTATATATGCTTAATTATTAAATAATAGTAATTTTTAATAAAATAAAGAATTATTGCTTATTATAAAATAGTTTTATATTAAGAAATAAAAAAAATAAAATAAATAAGAATATTAAAAGCATTTATTTATTATAATATTTAATAGTTATCTTAAAAGATAAAATGTAAAATTTTAATAAGGAATTTGCATTAAGATTAAGATAAATTAATAAAATATTTTATAAATAATATGCTATTAAGTTTATTAAAAACTATTTTAAGAAGAATTAAAAAAAAAATAATTAAAAGGTATAGAATTAAGCTAAGGCTTTTTTAATTAAAATTATATACTTTAAAATGCCTAAAGCTATTATTAATATTATTATTTAAATATTTATTATTTAATTAAAGCTTAATAAAATTAATAAAGCTATTTAAATATTTATATTAATTCCCCTTATTAAAATTAATAATATAAAAGTAATTAAAGTAAGAAATAAGCTTTTATTATAAAGAAATATTATTTAATAACGGCTATTTAAATTATAATATATTAAGATTATTATTAATTATAAAAAGAATATAAAGGAAATAATACTTTTAATGTAAATTAATTTAATAATTTAATTTTAAATATTTAATATATAATAAAGTATAAATTTTTAAATAACTTAAAATTAATTAAGTATAACTTTAATTAAATAAGCCTTTAGCTTAAGTATTATATTATAAGATATTTTAAAGCTAGCAAAAAATGCTTATTTTAGCATATATAAAGATCTTTCTTACTTACTTATCTTAATAATAAATATAAATAAAACTTAAAGTATATTAATTAATTTAAAATAATTAAAATAATAATAAAGTTTATTTAAAGATAATTTAAAAAGCTTATAAATAAATTAGCTAAGTAATTAAATATAAGGCATAAATATTAAAAGTAAAAATATTATAAAAAGTAAAAGTAAAAATAAAAGCTTTATAAAAAGTAAAAGTAAAAGTTAATAAAGTTAATATATTATACTTAATGTAATAATTAAAAAATAAATAAATTTACTTTTTATTTTATAAAAATATTTAAATCTTTAATAACTATATTAATATTAATTATTAAAGTAAACTTTAATAATTAAAAAAATAATTAATATATATATTATTAAGTAAATCTTAAGAATATTTAAAGCTTTTATAAAAGAGTAAAAGCTATAATAAGATAAGTAAGTAAGGAATTAAAAATAATAATAATAATTAAGATTATAATAAAGTAAATTTTAAAACTTAAAGGCTTAATTAAAAATAATAAAGTTTTATTTTAATAATTTTTATAATATTTATTGCAAAGTACTTAAAAAAAGTATATTAATAAGTATAAGGAATTATATAAAAAATAATATTATATTAAATTCCAGCTAGCTATAAAAAGCTAGCTTTTACGCTTATTTTAAATATTATTTTAAGAAATTAACTCTTTTTTTTTTTTATATATTTAATGCTTTAATTAAGCTTTTCTTATTTTTAAGAATTTTTAAAATATTTATCTTTTCTCTTTTTTTAATTCCCTTTTATTTTTATCTTCCCTCTTTATTACGTTAAAGCTTCTTCTTAAGTTATCCTTAAAAGGGTTTAGCAAAACCTATTCCTTATTATTTAGGTAGCTTGTTTTTAGTAATATAACTTAATATTATAATTATAATAACTTTTTAACATAATATATATAAATAAAAGATAATTTTATTTTTAGCCTTAAATTTTATAAAATATACCTTTTTACTTTATTTAATAATTTTATTTTTAATTTATAAGCTTTAATAAAAATATAAAGATATAAAAAATAAAAATATAATTAAAAGTATTTAATATTAAGCTTTTATTTATAAAGTATTTTAAATAATATTATTTAATATAATAATATTAAGTATAATTTTTAATTTTATAAATATATTATATAAGAAATTACCTTAAGTTATAAAAATAAGTAATTTTTATTATAAATTATTATATAAACATTAATAATAATAATATATATAAACTTTTTAAGTATATTATTTAATTTATAATAATAAAAAAATAATTTCTTATAAATAATTCCGCATTTTTAAAATATTATAATAATTATTTTATTTATATATTTATCCTTATTATTTAAATTAAATATCTTAACATTTACATTAAATTAAATTTTAATTATATTTAAAAATCCCTTAATAATATTTAAAATATTATTTTTTTAAGTAATAAAGTAAATTTAATAAAATTAAGCATAATTATTAATAAATAAATTAAAATATTAAAAACTTTTTAATAATTTTATTAAGAATTTATTTAATAAATTAAATTAAATATATTTAAATAATTATATAAATTATTATTTTAATAATAAATATAAATATTTTTTAATAAACTTTATAAGTTAATATAATTTATAATAAATATTTATTAATTTATTTAACATAATATTTTTATTTTTATATAAGCATTAAATAATTAACTTTAATAAATTATTATAATTAAAAGCTTTATAAAATTTATTATATATTATAAATATTATAAAGTTATTTTTTATTATAAAAATTTTAAAGTTTTTATATTAAAATTTTATTTATAATATTTTATAAAATTTATTATCTTTTAATAATAAAAAGATATTATTTCCTTATATATTTAATTAAAACTTTTTTTAAATTATAATTTAATTAAATAAATAAATATTTTTTAATATATAATTATATAAAATATTAATAAAAATGCTTTTAATAATTATAAGAAAATCTTTATAAAGTTAATATCTTTTATAATAAGTTAATTATTACTTATAATAATAATTATATTTAAATATAATTATAAAAAGCTAAAATCTTTTATATATTTTATTATATATTTTATAGCATTAAAATTTAAAATTTATAATATTAAAGTATTTATAATTATTAATAGCTTTATTATATATATTAAAATATTAATATATAATATTATTAAATTCTTTTATTATTATTAAATATTTTAATAACTTTTTTATTTATAGCTTAATTTATAATAACTTATTTCTTATTTTTTTTATTTTTAATTAGCTTTATATTTAATAAGCTTTATATAATTAATATATAAATAATTAATAAATATAAAGTTTTATATATAATATTAAATATATTTTTTATTATTTAATATAAAGTTAATATTTATTAATGTAAACTTTATAGCTTTTTTATATCTTTTAATATTAACCTTTTTTAAATAAAGATAATATAAGCTTTAAATTATTTAATTTTTATATAAAAAATAATATTTATTATTTTAAATTTAATTTTAAAAAATATTATAAGGTTTTAATTATTTAAGTTATTAATAATATTATTATAATATTTATTAATAATATTATTTATAATATTTAATAATATTATTTATAATATTTAATAATATTATTAAAAAGAAAAAGTTTTTAACTTTATTACTTTTAAAAAGTAACTTTATTAACTTTTTAATTAATTATCTTAATATTAAAGTTTTAATATAAAGTTTTATTTAAAAATTATAAAAGGTATTTAAATAATTTTATAAGTTAAAGCTATCTTTATAATATAAGTTTATTAATTAATAAAAAAGATAAATAATTAAGTTATTAATATTATAATTAAATTAATTAATTAATATTTTTTAAATATTAAAAGTTTTTATATAATATAATAAATAATATAAGGCTTAAATATATTAAACTTAAAAATATAATAAAAGCTTAATTATTAAACTTTTTTTATTTTATAAAGATTTTATTTTTATTTAATTATTCCTTAATATTTATAATATATTTATTAAGGTTAATAAATTAAAAGCTATAACTTTATATTACTCTTTAATTTAAAAAGTTTTCTTTTTTTAAGTTTAACTTTAAAAGAAATAATAAATTAAGCTTAAAGTTAAGTATATTTAATATTTGTTAAATAATATTTATATATCTTTATTTATTTATAATAATTAATATTAATTAATATAAATAAAAAAAATTAAAATATTAAATAAAATAAAAATATTAAATTATTATAAGTTATTATTAGCTATAATAGCTAATATAAGGTATAATAATAATATATAAGTAAAGATTAGCAATATTAAAATCTTAATTATTTAAATATAAAAATAATTATAAAAATAAAAATATTAATATTTCTTAATATTTTAAGATATTTTAAGCAATGCTAGCTTTATAACCTAATAAAGCAATTAAGCAAATAATAATTAATTATTATATATTAAGGAGAGAAATCTCCCGCTATTAAACGCTTAAAAGGAGCCTATTTATAGGCTAGCGCTAGCATCTGGGCATACGACCCTCGCATCTTCCAACAGATCTTGTGCACACTAAGGGGGCAGTGCATTTATAGAAAAACGCTGGGCAGACAGCGTCGTCATCTTGAACAGCGAGTGTCACTTCTTTCTGTCCTGCTCATGTCTAGTCAAAATGTGGAGGTCTCAGGCAACTGCATAACCAGTACATGAGCAGCAGGGATCGACTAAAGTGTGGATTGTAATTCTCGGACCGGTCATGGAGCGCTGCCCACCTGCAGACTGCATAAAGCCCCCGAGACAACTCAGTGTCAATGCCCTGCGTGTATACCGGCATTTATTGTGGAAGCTCTTGCAATCTATAATTTTCCAAGCACCTTATCGCCATGGCCAAAAAGCGGGAGAGCAGCGAAGAACGTCAGCCGCTTACTCATGGATCTCGGTCTGATTCGGAGCCTGCCTCGGAGTCCGGCTCGGACTCAACAGCCTGTCGCCATCATGTCGAGTTCCGTGGGCGGTGGAAGCCAGCCTTTGACCGACATGTCTGGCTTAGCCTTGTCCTTGCCATCGGTGGTTTAACTCTGTCAGCAGCAATTTTGGTCTTTACCTTCCGTGGCCTGTCTTGTCCGCCATGCAGGGCCACTGATTATTCGGGATACCAGTGCGCTCCCAACGGCGCCTCACCCGAGGTTGCCCGCGCGAGAGGGTGTGAGTGGGACGATCTTTCGTTCCACTGGTGGCCCAAGAAGCCACATCTCGACAGCGACAACCAGGCTCTGCTGCAGGACTTCCGCGTCTCTGGGCCATGGCAGAGGTTCTATGACCAGGAGGGACAGAACGAGATTCCCCCGACCAACGAGGTTCTCACCGCGGGCTGGGTGACGCGCAAAGAGCATCTTTTCCACTGTGTCTTCACCTTGAGGCAGACACACCTCTGGCTCACCAAGGGATTCGACGCTCCGTTCAACTACAGCCACACCGTCCACTGCACGCAGCAGCTGATCGACGCGGTCGTGGAGAGTCCCCCGCCCCGACTTCGATGATCTGACTGTCCATGGCACGCCTTGGCCAGAACACCCCCGCAATTGTAAGTTAGTCTTGTGACCGTGCCTCAACATGTACTGATAACCATGCAACCCCCCAGATCAAACCTTTTTACCCTGTAAGGAAGAGGGCTTGAGTTGTGAGTCATGGTAGATCACGCGGGAGAATGTACCAAAGCAGCAACCCAGTCATGGGTGTGTCTTCATTGTGGGTAATAGGCTCAAGCAGCGCGGACTAGTCTAGCTCCTGAAGAGGGGAACACATACAGCGAGGGCAGGGGAAAAGGGAGGCCTGATACATTTTCAAGACAAACCTGAACTCTTTTCTCTTTTCCGTTAGAACAAATAGCCATCCGTTTGAGCATGAGGCAACTCACCGCAGGTCGAGATGCAGAGGACTTGGTTTCTCCAATGCCAATGACCACGTCGCCAGCATGGGCCTCGCAAGTTCGACCTCAGAAAAAATGGTATCAAATAGTTATCTTATATACTGCAAGTATATGATATATGTACGGCAGAGTTAGTTTGAGAAGTCTGTGCTCTGCGATCTCCTACTAATCAATGAATCAGAGCCCGCACTAAGTGATTATACTTTCAGCCTCGACAACAATTTCATACCTGAGCGGGCCTTGGCTACTATATTTGTCGCCTGTCTCATTTCACCGCTACTGACCTGCCCAATTAGCATCACGAGGTCGTATTCGTCGTGCTCAACAGAGAAAGTCAGACAATATCTATCATCCTCATTGAAGTGAAATTTCAGACATGAATCGCTGAAACTTTGTCAGCCTCATCGCTTGCGGGCCAGAACCATCTGGACCTGCCATTCTAACTTTATTGTCCCATGGCCCACGGCGTCCTGAATCTCTTTCCACTCCTTGCTATCCCACGTCTCGGCGTTGAACCAAAAACGCAGCGACCCTCAAGGTTCTCCCTCAGCCACTGCACAGTTGTGTCCAACTTGCCAGTCCCCACAGTCTTGATCCTCAACCCGTTCGTGCTGTCCGAGGTGGGCCTCACGGGCGCGGCGTGCCACTGCTTCTCTTCGGGGTGCTGCTCCCATGCCCACGCCTTGCCGCAGTGAGGTAGAAGCGCTGCACGTCCCCCCCGTCCACGTGGTGGGCGATCAGCCTCTGGAAGGCGTCGCTCGCGGCCCCGTTGTTGGTGATGGACGGGAACGGCCCAGTAGAGCACGGCGGCAAAGGTCCCGCCAGGCCGCAGCCCGCCGGCAATGTCCTCATTGTTGGCTCAAGCTCGGTCCAGTGGATGGACTCGCACGCCATGACAAAGTCGACCTTGTCGAGGGCGCCTTGCAGGTCGTCCCAGGCGTCCTTCCCCGCGGCGAACCCGGTTACACAAACTGGGTGCCAGGAAAGCGCCCGGAAAATCGATTCCGCGAGTCCTGGATGTTAGACTCACGTGGGTCGGTCAGGACGACGCGCTCGAGTCGCGGAACGGTGTGGACGAGTAGACTCTCGGCAGCATTCCACATTCCAGTCCCAATGTCATGTGCTGACAAGAGGGGTCCCTTGGGTAAGCCAACCACAAGCGCCACATGAATATGTGGTGAGGACGGCCTTACTGTGGTGGTATGTAATGTTTTCCAGTCCATTTCGAGGGATTTGTTTTGTTGCTGTGCTTTCGACTCGACATCATCGCGACTGGACCGTAACTGGCTGGAATGCCCCTTGGCATTCGGTTGTGAATGGAACATGCTGGGCAGACGTGGACTGTGCCGCACCCCTTATGTTCTTCGTATTCTTTTTCTATACCAGGGTTGCGTCTGGTTGGGAAGACTAGTATCTCAATTGCTACTTACATAGACACGAGCCCCGTCTCTCGACCCCTACATTTTCATCAAACAGTTACGATTTGAGTTCGCCGATTGGCCTGCTGTCTATAATTCCTACCATCCAGACTATAAATCTAAGTGCCAGCTTTAAGCTTTGTGCTTTAGTTTACACGCGCGATCAGCCTTACCCGGTTCAGGTGGGATAACCTCCACCTTTTCTCTTTACCAGCTGGACACATCAGGTCCAGGTCTGCTTACTGATCTGTGTAGCTCTAGCACACTAAGGGCTACCGCTATTGGCGCCTCCTATCAGCCAGTCCCTGAAGTCCCGTGTGCTTGCACCCTGTTATGTATAGCTTCTGTGCCTCCATGCGAACACTAGGGCTATTTTTCATACGGCCACAGCCGCTCTATCCAGCCTAAATCTGTGAACAGAGGAGATCGTGTTTACCTGGTGACACTACAGCACCATCACTTTTATAAGATTCATCAGACACACGCCTTCCGTGGTTCCTCTGCCCATCAGTCAGTTCACAGTCTCTCTCCTACCGCGACAGCTCGGCCTCTGATACGCTTCGCTCTCCCAGCAGAGCTTAATTCCTCTATGGTTTGAGAACCCACTTATAATATCCACGGACCATTCAGTCTATAACCCAGGTTGTTGTTTCGCTTGCGCACCACATTGACCGCCCCCCACTGATGCTTGTCACACGATGCCCAGTACTGCAAAGCTCTGTTCGATAGACGGCATTGTGTCATACCCGAAGCTGCATAGTACACGGATTACCGGTCCGCCAGGAGGGACTGCGCACAGGCTTAGATACCCCGCGTCGGGGTAGGTGGCCGCATGCTCTATTGATGAATTATTGACAAGAAATGCATTAGCACCTCCGCACGATAAACCCATTCCCGTGAGGTTGAAACTACGGGTTAAAACTGGTCTCACCGCGTGATGGCGGGATAGCCGTGTGTTCATACAATTGTCTAACGGCCAGCTTCCCGACTAAAGCGACCTCGGCATCTCGGTTCCAACTTTTGGATGAATTTTATCATCGCTTTGATCTTAGGTCTTCCCTCAGGCTATCCTGATCTTCCACTCGCGTTACCTAAGCTGTTTGCGCGGCCTTCTGCTCTTATTGTGTTTCTACCCGTGAGCTCCTATGGCCACATAGACCGGACGAGGCACGGTGTATGTCTCCGTCCGCAGCATTGGCACCGTGGCCAGGCGCCCAACCCATCTTAGAATGACTTTCAGGTTTGAGTGCCTAAAACATGCCAGCCTGAGGAGCCCGTAAGGGATGATGGCCCTATGTTGACCTTCGTCTCGACGGGACACCTCTTTGGCACTAAGTTCTCTGTATTCGCAACTGTTACGACGCTACGATGTCACTCTGGGTTCAGTTGAATATTGACACCCCTGACGCACCGGCTTAACCGACGCATGCGCCCAGCTGAAGGCCGGATCGAGCACCTTCGGACCCTAATGGTTTCGCACTATTTGTGTAACTTCTCTTGATTCGACAGCAACCTATAGGTACACCCACCCCTGCTGTGTCACAAATTATCGAGACCAGTACTCCCGCCCCACTCACTCTTTCAGTATCGTACTGAGCATATCCTCATGATCCCATCTTGATCGACACTTTCCACCACAGTGATGGGCTGTCACAGCTAGCAGTCACTACTACATCCTCCTATTCTAGTGACAGTCTCGTTCTTAATGTTAACCACTCCGGGGAAAGGCCGTGACACGCAGCACGACAATAAGATCCAGCTTATCTCTACATTTTTTGTGTTTCAGCCCTTCGTACTCCGTATTGCACTCCGCTATATTATCTACTCTATTTTGAGCGACGGTGAGCCCCCCATACCAACCGCATACTCCTTCCCCACTCCACTAGTCTCTCGTCTCATAAATTTCGCTCGACCCGCCCCCAGGCTCGGAGAGACTTAGACTGAACTTGGACAAGACCCCTAACGTTAAAGACGCTCAGCTTCTAACCTAGCCACGGACACATGCAGGTCGCACAGAACGGGCAAATCAGTAGCTCTGAAGATGGACGGACCTGGCAGTCCGAAAAGCCGTATACTCAGCAACTTCACTTTTGGTCTAAAAAGGCCTTCCTGGTCAAAACTGTGCGGCAAACGAAGGCGTCCTCAAGTTGAGAAAGTTCATCAGAGAAACTTGAGAAGCGTCTTCGGCCCACCCCGTCTGTCACACCCAGATAAGTATTCCGAGCGACCTAGAGCAAGCGTCGAGGATGATTCACGAAAGAGTGGTGCACATGGTGAGGCGACCGATTGATCCTCGTACGTTCCACAACTAAGTCATATTCCCGATTAGCTCTATTTTCAGGATCCAAGTTGCCCGTGAGCCAGCCTGGGAACTCGTCCTCTTCCCATTTGATTTTGAAGAAATACTCACGCGTGCTAGGTATCACGAGCTCCTCAACTCGATCATACGTGGATGGAGGCATGAAAGGTCGAAAGTAAATGTTGGAGTCAGGGTCATCCACCCCTTTGGCAGACAACGCACATTCGTCCCTCCCCGAATCATAGTGGAGCCCCATGGCGTAAAATATTACGGTCCCTCGTTTGAAGAACCCCACCCTCCCTGTGCCAGGAACATCGCTGCCCACTGACATAACTCCTGACTCACGCACCAGAATCAGCCTTGTCACATGACAGCATTCTTGGCGTGTCGCGTTTCGCTTACCATTCCAGAACTGATTCCATTACACCAGCTGTGCACGCAGTATTTGCTCATGCCTACGGTATGCCGCACTTTTCTAGATCGCACGGCCCTTGGCTCCCCCACTGCGGGAATGTTGGCTGATTTGAGGCAAACACGGTCTTGCTATCCTTTGGTATTGCATCGTCATCATTGCAGATGCGATCTGGTTCTGTTGAGGACTCACGAAATAATGACGTCGTCCTAACAAGCTCAAGATGCATGCATGTTAGACCACCGCGATACAAACGCAAGGCAAGTGGAGCTACAATTGCAGCATGCGAGTTTTTGTGCCCAGAGCGCTCTTGGGTTTCGAAGATGCGCCACACGGACCGAAACGCATCTGTCAGGCTTTGTGGCTTGTCTCTTCTAACTACAACAGACCCGTCAATTCCCTACCGGTTGCGGGCGCACGACCACGTCCACCCACTGTGGAGGCCATGCTTCGCTGCTCACTTGTCTGCTTGCTTTTGTCATGCTTCTCGAAGCGGAAGTAGATGTTTCCACTTATCTCATAGTCGCGTATAATGGAATGTCTTACCCCAGGTTACAGCTCAACTAGTGCCTTTCTCCATGGATCTACAAGCGATGACTAACAATGCCGCTCAAATAGATGAGAGCAAGCACATGGCGGCACAATGCTACAGCTCAGGGCCACAAGCCCAAAGTCTCAGCAACACCAGTTTCGGCGCACCCGCCAGGTAGAATGTTACCTAGCAGTTCTGTCTTATCTAATGTCACGCCCCCACCTTCCCATACCTTTCTCCCGAGCACTTCTAGTCATGTTGACTTCTCATACAGATTCACGCGCTTGAGAAAACGACATCTTCAATAGACCTCGTCCGGGTCTGCCGTACTTCACGTTACGCCGAGCCCTTTTTTCTGTTCACATAACCATGCCACGATCATTCTCCATCACTTTCTTCCCGTCTCATTCCTGGCAATCTGGGCTTTCTTGTCCTGTGTTCATGCTAATAGAACACCTCCCGATCATGGTTTCCCTACTGCCGCTAACTCGCAAGCGACATCTCCGCACGGAGCCCAGACGCACACAGCCCTATATTTCGCCAGTCCTAGCACAAAGATCCTACTGAGCTTCTTTCACTTCCTTCTAGACCAATTGGCGCGATATCGAGTGGTTTCCTATTCGATATATACTCTGTCCAAGACGCCTCTCACGTACCTCACCTGTTGAACCTACATCGGTTCCGATTTCCATTGGTCTTGCAGCAGCATATGAAAAACGTCTCGCCCAATGGTCTTTTTTTTTTTTTTCCTTTATCTTTCCTAAGTTGACTAGAGGGAACATGAGTGCAGGCGTAGCAGACCTTGCCATTTGCTATATGAGATGCCACCCGTATCCAATCCGGCATTCTGCGATTCCAAATTAGCATTCGTTGCTTCATCGAATGCACCACTGGACACTACCAGTAACAAACATTCCTGATCCACCACACCTAGTACAGCGACTTGGTTGATAAGCGGCCGGAGGCCGAGGGTCTTCCCCGTTCTTCCTTTTGTCATTACCTGCGCCTCCTATGCCGCTCTGGTTCAATCTGACAAACAATTGCATCACACGTGGTCCTTACAGTGCTCTTCTCTTTCTGCGCAGAGACACTCTGAAATTTCTTTCGAGTACTCCACGCCCCCTCATTACAATCCGGTGGGGGTGGGGAGGGGGGGACTAGAGGAACAGGTTGGTTCTTTAATTAAGCACAGGTCTTTACGTCATTACGATCCTCAAAGTCCTCTTTTGTTATCGTGACAAGTACTGCGGTCTCCCGGAACACACAAGAGCTATGAGCGTTCCCTCATGGCCTGGCTCTATTTCTGCCGGGGCCTATATGGGAGGTACATATACGGTTGAGCCTTTGTAGAGATTTAGGAGGCTCTTTCGGGAAGCCGAACAGATATGACTCCCCTAGTCATTATTTTGTCGAATCTACTTTTGCAGATCCGCAGGGTATTG